TCCGAGGTGGGTGAAATGAGGACCCAGACTGTGGGGGCGATATGCTGACTCTGTAAACTGCTTAGAGAGGTCTGAAAGCCCTATGAAGCGGTATACAAGTCGAACTGCGATTGCTATTGCTATTCCTCCTCCTCCTCTTCTTTCCTCCCTCCTCCTCCCTCCTCCCTGCTCCTCCCTCAACCCCTCCCTGCTCCCTCCTCCTCCTCCTCCTCCTCCTCCTCCTCCCTTCTTCTTGTTCCACAGCTAGAGTTAATGGGAAGGGGAGAGGGATTGCATATATTATAGCTACAGTATCTTTTTGGGAGTTTCCACTTTTCTCCTTTCTGTTGATTTTTCTACCCACTCTTTCCAAGGTAGCTAAGTTGTAATGTCAGCATTGGAAAATTGGAGCTGCCAGTTCAATGCCGAAGTCTATTTCGAATGGCCCTAATTTTAACTCTTAACTCTTCATATAACTTCATGGATCAAGTTGGGCAGCTTGTACACCTACCTTAATGCAAGGTTTGCTTTTAATCTGGTGTCTTCTCTCTCAGAGTTATTGAGCCCTTTTAGATCACGTTACTTGTGGGTATATATTGCACGGTGTGCATTTATCTCACTGAATATTATTGCTTGTTTATAAATGAGAGAACATTCATCTCAAACAGAACCACAGTACAGGAACTGCGTCTTTGGGGAGAGCATGAAAAGCATAGATTGCCGATGTTTAGAGCCAGGTTCTTGACTGAGAGTTACCAAATGACACTTCAGGGGCAAATATGAGTGGCACAAACAGATGATGGTCACTCCGGTTTTAGCTGTGAGTCCCCCAGGTGACTTGGATGAGTGTGTTGGTGTAAGGCAGTGGTTCCCAAACTTGGCAACTTTAAGACTTGTGGACTTCAACTCCCAGAATTCTCCAGGCTGGAGAATTCTGGCAGTTGAAGTCCACAAGTCTTAAAGTTGCCAAGTTTGGGAACCACTGGTGTAAGGGCATGTGAGAATGACCTTGGAAAGGCAAAGGAGGCTGCCGAGAAAATGATCAGATGAGAGTCAGCAGAGCCCACAGCTGGAGAGGGGGGCAGGGCAAGAGGCTCAGAAGAAGCCCTCCCTAATCCCTTGCAGTATAAAGCGGGCAGTGGGAGAATTGTACTTGTGGGCTTGCAGGATTCTGTTCAAATAGCCACACAATAAAGTAGAATCAGCTCATCTGGTCGTGTTTCCTGCTTGCGCCACCTGGTAGGGCTGATAGGTGGACTAGAGTGGAGCATTAGGTAGCCCAATTCAGCTCCAGGTCCCTTCCTCAATTAGGAGAGCCGAGGTGGCGCAGTGGTTAAATGCAGCACTGCAGGCTATTTCAGCTGACTGCAGTTCTGCAGTTTGGCTGTTCAAATCTCACCGGCTCAG